AGGCTGGGATTGACTGAGGATGTTCCCAGATGGTGTGATTTTCATCTCAACATGAATCTGATAGAAATGTTTGTTTAAATATATGATGTGAACCTACATCAACGTGGATCTGATAGAAATAAGATCAAAATGAATGTATGGTGACGTATATATGTTTAGATTCTTATTCTTAATCTTATTGAGTAAACTCGGTTTAGTTTAAACAATTGGCCTCTGATCAGAATGGGAGTCACCCGTGGGCTGCACCCCTCTTTGCCTACAGACCCCCCTCCTCCCATCCAACTGATAAGAGTTCACACTGAGCTCAGATCTTTAGTTTTTTTTTGTTTTTGGTTTCTTGAAGTTTAGAGCTTCAGCTCTTGCTCGCTTCTCTTCGGACTTCGGTCCGAATCACTTCTTTTAAGTTTGTGCCGTAGAGACGAGTCTCTGCCGAACTTTCTTTTTCACACACAATTTTTGGAACATCAATTCTTTCTGGCTCAAGCAAGGTTTTTGAACTTTCTTCTCCAAAGTCTTTGCTCTTCATTTTTGAACGCCAATTCCTTAGTTTGGATTCATTAAGATGGCCATGAGGTTAATCTGAATTGGAAATCGACGTATCAAAAGACTCTTTTATAATTGTTTTCCTTTTGGATCCTCTTGGAGCTTCTGAGACAACGGCTGAACCGACGTACAATCTCCATCCCAGCTGCACACTCAGACCAAGGTGTCAAGGCATCTAATCTGGCCTGTGGACCTCTCTGGACCTAGAAAGAACCGCTTGCCAGAGACTGAAACGTGGGACCAGCCAGCGGAGTTCAATTGAACACATTTAATTAATAACATGTCAACATGAACTGCTTGAATAATGTTGCAGTTCAGAAAAATACATTAACATTCACAACTTTGAAGATGAATTAAAAAACATTATAAACTGAAGAATTTCAAAATGACAAGTACAACAAAAATTAGTCTGTGGGGTCCCCGATAACCAAACAACAAACATCAAGGTTCTTAATTGACCTGTCACATCACCATACATTATAATTGCATTATCCTGATCATAATAATCATATTCTTTATCTGTTTCATCTATTCCTTTTTTTTTACCCCTTTTATATTACATTTTTCACATAAAATTCAGGACTTTGTCTGTGTGTTTTCTTGTTTAACATTTCCAGAACTTACTTCTTTCAAGATATGAAACTCACTGATTAATTAATTAACTTATACCATTAAAGTTATTTTCTTCCTTTAACAGGAAGTGGTGCCCCTTCTTAAATACGAGGTTAAATAAAGATATAACATCTTAATAATTTAATTTAAACACTAGGTGTCAGAGTTATGTATTGCTCCTTTAAGGGTTTGAGACGCTCTTTGAGACACTTAGTTAATTGTCGGTGTCTTTTATATCTATTTGAATCCTGAGTGTTTGACCTCCCTCAGTGTTTCTCATGAGAGTTAGCTTCACCCACTTAATGCCAACCCATCCCACAGCCTCAAACCATTAAAGGGTTAAGGACTGCTTTCTGGACTTAACTTTATACTTTGAGGTTATATTCAAACATCAGTTTTCTGAACGAGCCCCTTTGAACATTTTGATGATGTCACGTTTCGATTGCAGCAACAGTCTTCAGAAATGATTTTGGAGAAATGGAACTGATAAATTTCTGTGAATGTCGCAGCATGTGACCGATGAGAAAATGAGATGTGATGTCCCGTTGTTCAACCATTCCTCCTCTCTAAAAGCTGCCATGTTTCCATGAGAAATGTGTTAAAGAATGAACTATTAAACTGTCGCTATGATTCTTGTATTTTTGCAGTTTTATTCTTATTTGACTTTAGTTTTCACTCCGACAACTAAGGTTTGCATCTTTAGAATATTTAGTTCAGTCAGGACCATCCACCGACAGAAAATATGAATGGACCAAGCCTGAGTGACGTCCCCCGTCTGTCCCTGCAGGGGGCGCTGGAGTCCCATCGATGGCGGTCTCCATGCTGGAAATGCTGTCTCAGTCTAACTTTCAGTCAACCTAACGACAGGCTGAGAGCTGGAGCTGAGGCGGGTTTTAAACCTCCTGACAAACCGTTACACCACGCCCACATGTCAATCAGGTCAGCTACACGCCTTATTGTGAATAACTCTTATCCTTCATCAAATCAAAACTGATGAGTTATCAAAACATTCACCCCCCGTACAGTGTGTGTCCATCGAGACATGAGCTAATCACACCTATTTGGTTTTTTGAACCAGGCTGTAAACATGTTCATCTCTGCTGTAAAAACAGGCTTTTTAGAATGGGTGTGTATGTGACTTCCTGTGCTTCTGCAGCAAGCCTCTAGTGGACACTCGAGGAACTGCAGGATTTTGCATTTTTGTTTTTTCTTCTTCCTCTTACCTCATGGTTTATTTTAATATTAGGTTTGTATTGATATCAAATGTGTTTTCCCCTCTAATTTTTGCTACAAACACCTTGAATCTGTTCGATTTATCCACGCACGTGCACAGAAGTATGTCTCTTTGATGGTGTTTTGAAAAGTTCCACTTGATATCCCGTTATTTATTGGAGTTCAGAACAGAATCAGCAGCAAGCAGCTGATTTCCTTTGTCTTGGTTCCCGTCTCTCCCGTCTCTCCACAGGAGTCGAGATAGGAGTTTTGCTGCACGGAGCCATGAGCGCACCTGCACTCACTCACAGCAATTTTTTGAATGAATGAAAAAAAAAAAAAAAACAGATCTGATATGTACTCGGGCGGCCATAAATGTACCTGGGTGGCGCACCCAAGTATCGTCTTATGCGTGGGAAACACTGGTTTAAGACTGTTACGGTTAGTATAAATTCTGGACCCAAAAGCACGACTCAGATAGGCAGGATAAAGTTTACAAAAAGGTTTATTTCTCAAAAAGTGCAAAGGGGAGGGGTAGTGCGAGGTTCCAAGTGGCAGTGTCCGTGATCCCAGTGTGGTGTCCAAAAAGCACAGGTGAGGTGAAGCAAAAACACGAACAGCGATCTGGCGCAAAGAAAAACAAGGTTAGCTACACAAGCTATAACATGAGAACTAGTATCCAGAGAAGCCAAGAGAGTACAAACCATGCGAGGTGGTGAAACAATCTGGTGCCGAGGTGAGGCTGAGGGAAGTCTTTGTAGTCGAGATCCTGATGACCAACTAGCTGCACCTGACGCCGCCTGGGAACATGAACCCTGTCGACCACACTCACACAGACAGGGGAGAGACACATGAGGATTAAACAGACAGGGAATGACAAACAACACAACAAAAGAGGAAGGGAGGGCTGCCATGATGTGAATCATGACAAAGACTTTCCTTTAAATGAAACGATGTAGGTGACTGAGAGAACTCTGAAAATGAAAATGGCTTCTCCCCTCTTGAAACTGATCATTTTGTAAAAGGAAATTTCAACAGTATGATCCTTTTATGTTTAAATACATGACATATACTGTAATATAACGGTTTATAACAATATTTTACTGTATTATTGCTTGAAGGAAACAAAACAGTAATTTACCGTAGTTTTTGCAATGCACTTTGGGAAAAAGAAGTTGAGACCACATGGTTGAAAGGACAGTGGAGTTGGCTTTGTCAGATTGTCATCCATCTCCATCCTGACAATTAAGAGGTGAGTGCCTTACTGCTTTGGTAGTTAGAATAGGCAAAAACCATCACTTACTATGTTTGAAGTCATTTGTGGGATTAACCTTAGCTATTTGGAAATTACACAGAAACACTGCAGGCAGACACACACGCAGTGAGTGAATTCTTTGCCAGCTAACATTAGCTTGAAATACAGATCTTGACAGTTGCTAAATGGGACAAAAAACAAAAAAAATTCTTGTAATGTGGTTAACTCAGTGGGCTATAATGAATTTGACTTGCTTGCCTGGTGGTACTAGAATGGTAAGGTTAGCTAACATCAACAATCACTTTTTATTTGTTTCAGCTTCAACTGACACTGACACTGACTATTGATGAAATATTGAATTAGAAATGATGATTAGCTGGGCCTACTAGGCAATATGGCCATAGTATAAATAGTATAATATACAGTATTTGAAAATGTATAAAAGGAAACTTTAGTGAGACTGTCAGAATGGACCTGAAGCATGTTTTTTTTTACTATTTTAACACATAAAGCTGCTGCCATACATCCTGAATTCATGTACTTAAAGTAATTCCAGGACTTATTTTTATTCATACTAGTTCTACTTCATACTTTTACTTTACTTCTTTGCATATGGAGAATATTTAGAAAGGATTGTCCATATGATAATGTTCACTGTTCAATTGGAGCTGCTTTTGTTCTAATGTTGTTTTTTCCCTTTACAGGATCCTTGTGGCAGTTTGAGTCTGCACCAAAACTCTTTTATGCACTTTTTATACATTGGAAATGGCCTTTGCTAAATGTCTTAATGTAAATATTTGTGCGAGATTTTTTGCCTATTTAACCTTCATGTTCTTAAAGTGTATTTTCTTTGTTTTTGTCACAATTTCAATAAAGACAGGTGTGGTTTGAGAAGACAGTTTGAAGTTTTATTATTTGTCTTAACATTATTAGTTGCAATTTTAAAGGCACTGTTTATTTATTATTTTAAAACATGGTGTTTTATAACATGATATGCAAGGATTAATTGATCCAATCACTCGGTTTAGAAAATAAATATATTGTGTCCATTGTGGTAGAAGGAAATGAATCTATAGCTAGGTGTAGTATTTACAATTCACAGTAAAAATATGCAATTATACCTCTTGTGAAGAAGTGTAAATAAACAGTATTGAACAGTTAATCCTTTCAACAGTATTTTCCTGTTAACATTTAAAATAACAGCTTTTTGCTGGATTTACAAAAACGATAAAAAACTGTCAATTTCAGCAACAGCAATATACCGTTAATTTTACAGTAACTTCCTGGCATCCCTACTGCCAGTTGTTTACCGTTTACCGGGAATTTCTAAGAGTGATGACTTTGGGATGATCATAACATATTTCACAGATAACACAGGTTTTCTTTTTCATTGCTCAAAGCTTTTTTTATTTTGCATAAGAAAAGGAAGAAAAGGGTTCATTTAAAAGAAAAAATTAAGATGTGCTTAAAGCATCCTTTCCATTACATTTCAGTCTGAACTTATTACGGGCACGAGGCCTCAGAGACAATCCAGCTCCTGTTGTCGTCACGTGTCGCGTCTTTCTTTTAGCGTTACAGCGATAGAGAGAGAGAATAAAAGAGATTTAGAGCGTTCCAGGTTCTTCATGCCTTTCGAATCGGACCAGAAATCACCATCTCCTGTTTCTGACACAGACGGAGGGACGCTTAAGCCAACACTGGGCATCATCCCAGCATTTGCGACCTGTAAACAACAGAAACATAGAACAGAAGAATATAGATAAGAATTACAAGACGCTTTAACTCTGACACCTAGTGGTTAAAATTAGTACTGCAGTCCAGATTCCAAACATTATAGAGATCTGTCTAAATCCAGAGCATTCAGGAGCAGAATCTAAAGTTAGAAGGAGGACATACTGGCTGCTGCATTGTTAACAGAGAAGCCAGCACTTCAACATAGCATGGTTCCTTAATGTCTGATCAGAGAGTAAGATACCTTTATCTTTTCACTCAGTAGATATCTTACATAATGTTCCTTTATGATGCCAGTCAAAAGATGAAACATTTATACATAAGGGTCAGATTTACTAAAGGTTTGCGTGTCTTAAAATGCGTGCAAAAAAAAAGTGCTATCTGATCTACTAACGGCGCACAGTGTGGATTGCGTCTTTCAAATGAGCAAAACAACACGCATTGTCCATTTAGTATGTTTGACTTAATGAATATGTAATGTGGGGCGTTTCTGCCCTAAAGTGCAAAATACTGGGAGGAGAAAATGCAAACAAGTTAAGTTAGTACACACATTGTGACTGACAAAAATTGAGGTGATTGTGACGGTGTCTGAATTTAACACAAGGAAGGTGCTAACCCAGGAGACCAGTGTTACACACAACAGACTGCTGTTACTGAAGTTAGGAGGAGACATAGGCACAATCAAAAGAAGGCATAAAGGTCGCGTCTTTCCCCGTCTATGTGTTTACATGTTTCAAATGGCATGCATTTATTTTTTTATTTGATTCAATATTCTAATCGTTAAGGAAGAGAAACACTGTGATTAAACTACAGGCTGTTGTTGCCAAAGAAAACTGAACATTCACAGCCTCTGCATTCTATAGAATTTCAACATTGATATTTATGTCTTCCTATTTCCCTTTTTTTCGCCAACATTATATTTTAAACTGGGGATTTCCTTTTTCTCGGGTGGCACGTCTCTCCCCCAGCTTACCCCCTCTGGTGCGCTCCTCTCCATAATCACCTCCCTCTAAAGCTGCTGCTACTCTGTAGGACGCTTGGCTTGGGGGACCTCACCACTGTTTGTACCCCCGTCTTCGATATCTCTTTCCAGGTTATTCATGTCTGATCAGACACAGCGCTGGCCAGCTGTCTGCTGCACAACAACAGGGAGTGTAGAGCGCCCGGTCCACAGAGGACACAGCTCACACCTCCTGCACAATGTATGACACTTCATTCTTAAGATGAAGGGAAGAAAAGAGAGGCCCTGTTTAATGCCGATGTTTTCTTATAACCAAAATTTTCTTTGTAATATTCAGATTTATATCATATAACTCGAAAGCATTGTGTGTTTATTTGCATCTCCCACTAATACCTATTTTGTGCTTGCAGTCGTCCTACTTTCTGTCAAAACTCTCCATGATGTAAACCAGTAGAACACGCAAAAGCCTAACTTAAATAGTACTGCCTCCACAAGGTTTGCACCTGGTGTCATTTACGCAAACTTTCTTCGTAGATCACCCGCAAAACGCCCACCAACCAAACGTGCAAACTTTTGGAGTGAACACGCAATTTAGTTCTCTTTAATTGGGAACTTAATAAATCTGGCCCTAACTTTTCTTTTTTCCCTTGTATACTTAAAAAAATAATACAATTCATGACTTACGGGAGAAATTCATCTGCAAGCAGTCCTGATTTCCAGCATTGTTTGGTTCTCCACAGCACCAGTTTTTGTAGTTGAGGCGGGAACCATCACTCCAGCGCCAATGACCCTCCTAGAAAAGAGAACAGAAGTCATTAGAAAAACATTTATGTTTGAACACCATCAACTGAATTAATCACTATAGACACCAGAACGATCCCAGGAAGTTTGGTTCAATGGGCCAGACTTAAATGTCGGAAAAATCCACTTCACCATGTTCCTCTAACTCTAACATGTGTCTCTAGTCCGTCTACAAACCCCCCACTGATGAGAAAAGTCCATCCTCTCCGTCTTCTGCCAGCTCCACTTTTCAGAAAATGTGTGCTCAAACAGGCCGTTTGGAGATTTTCCCTTCATGACATCACAAAGGGCAGTAGCCCCTCCCCCAGGTGGGTGACACTCCCACAGCTAGGTGTTTTTTCTGCCCTCTGAGTCAGCCTTCTCACCGTAAACAATAGGACATGGAGCAAGAAAGCACCGAGTACACCCAAGCCCTTCCATAGAGGGGGTGTGGTCAGACACAGCTCATTTACATATTTAAAGGTACAGACACAGAAACATCCTGTTCTGAGCAGGGCTGAAATAGAGGTGTTTATAGACATGATCAAATACAGGATATGTGTGTTGCTTAATGACTTACCCTACACCGATCAGTGCCTCCAATCCAAGTCACTGGACTCCCCCTAGAGCTCTTTTTTATCAGCGCTCTGATTTTAAGGTACTGCCGTCTTGAATGCACAGATGCCAGGTGTCCACCGAGGCGGCGGCAGTTCCTCTAAAGGGAAGATAAATAGAAAACTGTTGGTTCCGGGTCTGGACTTCACTTGTGACCATGAACAGAACAGAGAGAATGAACAGTTAACAGTTCTTAGAGTCACTTTGTATGATGCACTCCTCTCTACTTTACAGAAATGGTAATGTAACGGCGCTTCTTGGATGATGTTGATTATCCTCGGTTGTCTTGCCGTTAACTATAACACTAAACATACTTAATTAAATATATATATTCGGGTGTGGGTAAGTAAAAGCACGGGGACAACTTCTGCTGTGCGTCTCATACGTTTTAATGTCCGTCCGTAACAGAGCATGACATATCCAGACTGAACAACCACAACAGCGACACCTTACTTGTCTTAAAGCAATATCACTCCTCAAACCGTAACCATGGGTAACCTTAAAGGCATAGTGCATCATATCAAACAGATACTCTTGTACAGTACAAATTGTAAATATAAATGAAATTAGCATTAAATCAAATAATGTATATTATCTCAACCTAAGAAGAATAAAGATCTATAAAATAAAACTTCACAAAAATAAATCTCATCTCCATCTTACAGTAATAAGAAAGACTCCTCGAAATCACAGTGTGGTTTGCAAAACTTGCCTTTGGAGAGATTATCAAATGTACATAGTAACTCTAGCAATAGTAAAAAGAAAGAGTCATAGGAGGATAGTAAAATTACAAAGAAGTCCATTCAAGAAGCATTCTGCATGTTCATCATCTTTTACCTCAGCCTGATGCCAAGTCAGAGGTTTTCGAATGTAGAAGAAATAGCGGCAACCAATCTTAGTCCAACTTGGACGGCTCCAACACCAGCACGTCCTCTTGTCAACATCGACCTCTTCTGAAGGACAAACACAAACACACACACACACAAACACACACACACACACAGATGAAGGAGTGATGTTTAGTTAACGGCACCCAAACACAACTCGATACAGAGCTCATTAGAAACATGCAGAGGCTTTTTAGGTCGGGTACAATCACTTCTATCTGAACCACTTCTCTTGCTGCTTCCATCGCTGCAACACCTGTTGACCTGATAACTGCTCTCATATCTGGCAAACCGAGGGGCTGAGCTTGTTTGCTTAATGATGTAGTTAAGACACTTCACCATGAAACACACAGCATGTTTTAAGGCTCCATTATAGAATATGAAATGAGCATCATAATAAATAATGTAGAGTTTATCCTCACCTGATTTTGCGTTCTCAGGTTCCGGCTCTGCAGCAGCTGGAAAGTTTTGACACTTCAGTTATCACATGAATACGACCACAACATGTCACACATGCAGGGGCGTGTCCAGAGGGGTGGCAGGGGCCCCCACCTTGAAATCTGATTGGCCACCCAAAAAATCCAAATCTATGATTGGCTGTTTTGCCTATTCAGAGGCGGGACTTACGTTAAAACCAACTATTCTTGATGTTCTCAATAGTCTGCCGTTGGTCACCTTTACGAGTTAATGTCGTAACTTGTTTTTTGTCATTGCTTTCCGTTGTAAATAAATACTTTGCCTACTTTTTTCTTTTTGCCATTTTGTAAGTTCTTTAAATAGTGACTTTGCACATCTGGACCGCACCCCTGCCCCCCATGTTTCATCCTCACCTTCAGCGCTGCTCAGAGCCACCATGGCACAGAGGAGAGCGCAGAGAGCCAAGAGCTTCATCGTGACGTTGATGATGAGATGATGCTGAAGATGAATCAACAGACGTGTTATTGACGCTGCTGTGAGGAAAACAGAGTCGTTAAGATAGTTGAAAATGTGCAGCACCTTTACCTTCTCGTCTCGTGTCTCAGCGTAGCTTCAGTCTGTCCGAGTGTGGATACTTCACAAGAGCAGCAGCAGCTCTTAAATACAACTTTTTATCTCAGCATCTCCAAAAACAAGGAAGTGAACACAGGCTTACGACACTGAAATGTTATAAAGTTTTTTTAAATACAAATCTTTCACAAGGGATTCCAGTCCGGTTAGCTGGTTTGGTTCAGTACAGTTTGGGTCAGTTTGGTACGATAACCCTGATCTTTTGTTGTGTTTCCACAGCCAGCCATGCCCTTATTTGGTAAAGCGGAGTGTACGCCAGATGGAGATAGCCGCTCCAGTAACAAAATAGTGTGACATCACAGCAGCCCAACATGGTGTGAAGTTAAACGTTCAAGAAGAAGAACAGGTACACGGTAAACAAGGGATCCTCTAGGGTCGGATCAGTATGCTTTGCACCCCAACAGAAGGCAGGGCAACTTTATTTCTATAGCACATTTCAACAACAAGGCAATCCAAAGAGCTTCACACAAGACATCAAAAGCATCATGACAGAGGAAAGAAAAGAAACATTAAAATAGAACATTAAAAAATCACTGGAATTATTAAACCTCAACATATGTTCAAATAAAAATAATTTAAATGAAATTAATTTAAATAAATAAAGTAAAAATATAAAAAGAGTTAAAAGTTACAGAGCAGAGTTAAAGTTTAAAATCTTATTAAAGCTGTTTAATGAAAGGCAGCTGTAAACAGGTGAGTCTTCAACCTGGATTTAAAAGAGCTGAGAGTTTCAGCAGACCTGCAGTTTTCTGGGAGTTTGTTCCAGATATAAGGAGCATAGAAACTGAACACTGCTTCTCCGTGTTTGGTTCTGACTCTGGGGACAGAGAGCAGACCTGTCCCAGACCACCTGAGCGGTCTGGATGGTTCAGAATTAATCAGGAGGTCACTAATGTATTTCAGCCCTTTATAAACCAGCAGCAGGATTTTAAAGTCTATTCTCTGATAGACTGGGAGCCATGTTGAGTCCTTTAAATTGTGTTTTTGTTGTGCTTTGAGAAAAGTTGTTTTGTTTGGCAGTATTGCAGTTTGTAGTCCGACTGCTCTCTTATTTCGTTTATAATAGTAATAATAATAATAATAATAACTTTATTTCTATAGCACCTTTTAAAAACACAGGTTTACAAAGTGCTTTGACAAACAGCAAAAACAAGAACAAACTAAACCAAACACAGAAGAACATAAACAACAGCAAGAACATAACAAATGCAAAATACTAAAAATAATTAAATACAATTCAACAGAAAAGAACCCAAAGTGCACGATACCCAACAGACATATATAACCCGACCATCACAAGAACCATCATAAGAACCATCATAAGAACCATCACAAGAACCATCATAAGAACCATCATAAGAACCCAGGAAACACAAGAACCCAACAACAAGAGCTGAGACCAAGAGGACCAAAGATTTAAAAAGATGTAAGAAACTAAAAAAGCAAATAAAAAGAGAACAGCATTAAGAAGGTAAAAGCAGTAAAAGAAATAGAAACAAGTGGTTAAAGGATCAAAAAAAACAACAACTATAATATTAATAAAAATAAAAAAGTAAATATAAATGTAAAACATAAATAGACAAAGTAAGGAAGATAAGAAATTACCAAGTTAAAACATAAGAGGAGTTAAGATAAGAGCATAAATAAAAGGACAGTAAGAAGTAAAAGAAGATAAAAATAGTAAAACCAGAAAGAAAAGACATTAAGAAGACGACATCACATAAAAGCAAGTCTGTAAAAGTACGTTTTAAGAAGGTATTTAAAAGAATTGAGGGAATCTGCGAGTCTTATCTCCTCAGGGAGGTCGTTCCAAAGTCGAGGGGCCCTGACTGAAAAGGCCCGGTCACCTTTAGTTTTAAGTCTCGACTTTGGAACGACCAGGAGGCCCCCACCTGAGGATCTAAGACTGCGGGCTGGCTCATATGGTGTCAGTAACTCTGTTATATAGCTTGGAGCCAGCCCCGTCCCTGCTTTAAAAGTAATGAGTAAAATCTTAAAATCGATTCTAAAACGTACAGGAAGCCAGTGTAATGAAGCTAAAATTGGAGTGATGTGATGTCGTCTGTAACAACCAGTAAGAAGCCTAGCTGCTGCATTTTGGACTAGCTGGAGGCGAGACAGTGACTTATTTGTGATTCCGGAAAAGAGGGAGTTACAGTAGTCAAGTCGGTAGAAAATGACTGAAAGTCGGGAATAAAAACTGAACAGCCGACCTTTGACCTACGATGGATTGCAGAATCGAATTGAATGTTTTCTCTTGAGGAGAAACGTTTGTCTTCACTGTGTTCAAAGTCCCGATGATGTGGAATAAAATAAAAACGATAACTCTGATGAAACAACTCCCCGACTTCTCTTTTGGACTTCTTATCAGAAGTTTCCACTTCTCCAAAAAGTTCTTGGGCAATGACAGCTCAGGCCGTTGGTAAATGAGAGAAATCTAAAAGTCATGTTGGGACCATAATTATGCAACAGTAATGTATAGATGTCACAACTCTGCTCTGGTTAGAAAAAACAGACTTTCAGAAATGACAATAGAACACGAGACGTTTTCACACACGCGTCTCCTGAGGGTAAAACGTGATGGGAGAAAGAAGACGCTAAAGTGGCAGACGAAGCCACAGAGTCCTCTATACGACGCTATAGTGAGAATATTTACCTTCATATCAATGCTTCATGTAGTTAAACAGAATCACAATATGAACTAAAGAGTGGAGAAGAACATTCTGGGAAAAGCCCTCAACAGAATCGTGAGTGAACATTTTTAAAAAGTGTTTCTTCCGGTTGACTTTATGGAATGAACTGCCGATGAAGAATGTCAAAGAAGCAGCACATTAAAGAACGAAAGCAGGACGGGGAGAGAAGTGGCTCGAAAGCAGTTTTGATTGGTCCAAAGCAAGTCCAAAAAGAAGGGCTGTAAACCATAACCACATGAAATAGTCCTTTAAATATTTGTGGAATTCCTAAAATAAAACATAAACCAAATATATAAAAAGTGACAACACCTTTTGAGCAGAGGGGTTTCTAATAAGCTCCACGAGCAGAAACGTGCTCAAACTAGGATCAATATTGGAGATGCTTTTGAAAAATGGAGAGAGGTTAGAACACAGAAAGGTTTACAGACCCATGCAGAGCTGGATAAACACTGAAGCTTCAGAGTCCACCACATGGTGACCTGCGTGAGCATGGACTCTAGAGAGGAGGGAGGGGGGAGGGGCGGAGACAGCTCTCTACAATGTTTAGAATTTAGACTGCAGTACCCATTTTAAACATGTAGCTGTTATCAGCAGTCACGTTTACAACCTCTCTTCCTGCAGGACTCAGGACTGTGGATTAACATCTGGGTTTATTTTACTAAGGAACAAAGGAACTGATCAATGATTTAAGTCTCCCTCTCAGACAGGATATTATGAACTTTTACAACACCTGGAATAAACAACCGAGCGGAAACAGAACACTCTGCTATCTACAAATTGACCCCAAAGACATGAACTGTGACTGAAACCAGTCTCTGCAAAGTCGTAAAATTGACCATCTGTTGAAGGACTGCTGAAGAACTGATTAAACCACAGCTTTCAACTCTGCATCAAATGAACATTTATGTCTTTCTTCATCTAGATATTTGTAATTGTCACATTGAATGTATTATAATCATCTTTTTAAACTCAAAATCTGATCTTCAGAACAGCAATAAGAGTTATATTATGTTTAATAGGAATTTGACGTGGAGCGCTATTGCCATCTAGTGTTAGAATATCCATGAATACGTAACCTTCATAATTATACATTTAGATGTGTTATAAAGCATACTCTTTGATATTAGCTATAGAAGGTGTTATTTAAAGACACCAACTTCTTTTCCTACTTTATTAATATGTCTTATTAAGAATGCTGACTGTATAACATGTTTTTTGTTCACCTACAGGCTGGGATTGACTGAGGATGTTCCCAGATGGTGTGATTTTCATCTCAACATGAATCTGATAGAAATGTTTGTTTAAATATATGATGTGAACCTACATCAACGTGGATCTGATAGAAATAAGATCAAAATGAATGTATGGTGACGTATATATGTTTAGATTCTTATTCTTAATCTTATTGAGTAAACTCGGTTTAGTTTAAACAATTGTCCTCCGATCAGAATGGGAGTCACCCGTGGGCTGCACCCCTCTTTGCCTACAGACCCCCCTCCTCCCATCCAACTGATAAGAGTTCACACTGAGCTCAGATCTTTAATTTTTCTTTGTTTTTGGTTTCTTGAAGTTTAGAGCTTCAGCTCTTGCTCGCTTCTCTTCGGACTTCGGTCCGAATCACTTCTTTTAAGTTTGTGCCACAGAGACGAGTCTCTGCCGAACTTTCTTTTTCACACACAATTTTTGGAACATCAATTCTTTCTGGCTCAAGCAAGGTTTTTGAACTTTCTTCTCCAAAGTCTTTGCTCTTCATTTTTGAACGCCAATTCCTTAGTTTGGATTCATTAAGATGGCCATGAGGTTAATCTGAATTGGAAATCGACATATCAAAAGACTCTTTAATAATTGTTTTCCTTTTGGATCCTCTTGGAGCTTCTGAGACAACGGCTGAACCGACGTACAATCTCCATCCCAGCTGCACACTCAGACCAAGGTGTCAAGGCATCTAATCTGGCCTGTGGACCTCTCTGGACCTGGAAAGAACCGCTTGCCAGAGACTGAAACGTGGGACCAGCCAGCGGAGTTCAATTGAACACATCTCACAGTAAGACTGCTGGTGGCAAGGGGTGTTGGAAGATTGAGTCATGAGTTGTGTCTATTCAGAGCCCTCCTTTAAATCCAAATAGAATCCCAAAATACCTTTATCAACTTTTTATTTTTGACCATTTTCTGATCAAACAATCTTATCTCATTACTAAATATATAATGTCACTGTTGCAGCCAGAAACTCAGGCAGACGCTGAAAGGTCGTTTCACTTGTCTTCACTTTATTGAAGTTTTAACAAAGACTCAGTACCTTCATTCACTCTGCCTATGAGTCTCTTCCGCTGCTGAATCATAACTAAAACTTTCCCGCTAACTCTGGAGCATCACA